GTAACTATTCCACGTCTTGAATTGACAGCTGCTGTGCTTGCTGCTCGAGTGGACAAAATGTTAAGGGCAGAGATGCAGTTTCCATTGGTTTATTCAGTATTCTGGACAGATAGTACGTCCGTGTTGAAATACATAAAAAATGAGGACAAACGTTTTCTTACCTTTGTCGCCAACAGGATCTCTGCAATAAGAGAAATTACAACACCATTACAGTGGCGATACATACCTACGACTCAAAATCCAGCAGACTGTTGCTCCAGAGGTCTGAAAGCAGATCAGCTATTAACAAACAGAGAATGGATCAATGGACCAAGTTATCTGTGGAAACCAGTGGAAGAATGGCCAGCACAAATATTTGATTCTGCTCTTAAAGCAGATGATCCTGAAGTCAAGAGGAACATATGTGTAAATAGCACTCTTGTTAGTGAACAGTCAAATGCTACTCATAGGCTGATTACTCATTTGTCAGACTGGACAAAGTTGAAGGTTGCTGTTGCTTGGCTCTTGAAATTAAAGACAGTTCTGAAACAACGAAGTCAAAAGAGAAAGGAAATTCAAGCCTCTTTAGACTCTTCTGGAGTAACTTCTAAAAAGACGGAGAAAGAACTTCGAAAACTAACTGGTTCTGTGGTTACACCAAATTTAAGTTTGCAGGATGTGAATGAAGCTGAAGTAGCTATTGTTGCATTCAGTCAAAGGCAACAGTTTAAAAAGGAAATCGATGCTCTGTCAGTTTCACCTGTTTCAAAAATAAGCCGAGACAGCAAGCTGTATAAATTGGATCCCGTCTATCAAGACGGTATTTTGAGAGTAGGAGGACGATTGAGAAATTCTGCTATGCCGGAAGAAAGAAAGCATCCGATCATTCTGGCTAAGGATCAGCATATTGCCACGCTCATCTTGCGTCATATACACCAACAGTTAGGTCACAGTGGAAGAAATTATATGCTTTCAGAGCTGAGGAAAAGATATTGGATCATTAAGGGTAATGCAGCTGCCAGAAGGATTATATCGAGTTGTGGCCATTGTAGACGTTTTGGAGTTAAGGTGGGTGAGCAGAAGATGGCAGACTTGCCAAAGGAACGACTCCTTCCCGATTTGCCTCCATTTTCGAATGTTGGGGTGGATTATTTTGGTCCTGTGGAAGTTAAAAGAGGACGCTCCATTGTAAAACGTTACGGAGTCATCTTTACTTGCATGGCAAGTCGAGCAGTTCATCTGGAAGTCGCCTACTCATTGGACACTGATTCATGTATTAACACTCTTCGAAGATTTATCTGCAGACGAGGGCAAGTAACTCAAATAAGATCAGATAATGGTACCAACTTTGTTGCCGCAGAAAAGGAATTAAAGGAATCACTGAGATCATGGAATCAAAACAAGATTCAAAGGGCAATGCTCCAGAAAGGTGTCCAGTGGAGTTTCAATCCTCCAGGAGGTTCGCATTATGGTGGAATCTGGGAACGTGTAATCAGAATGGTCAAAAGAATTTTGAATTCCATCCTACATCAGCAGATTTTGGATGATGAAGGATTCCATACTGTACTATGTGAAATTGAGGCCATTCTAAATGATCGCCCAATAACTAAGTTGTCAGATGACCCCAATGATTTGGAGCCACTTACTCCAAACCATCTTCTTCAGATGAAAGGTAAACCAGTATTACCACCTGGATTATTTGAAAAATCTGAATTATACAGCAAGAGGAGATGGAAACAGGTCCAGTATATGTGTGACTTATTCTGGAAAAGATGGACAAATGAATATTTGCCTTTGCTTCAAGATCGGCAGAAATGGAATAAGGAAAGGAGAAACTTTGTTCCTGGTGACATTGTTGTCATTGTGGACTCGTCTGCCCCTCGAGGGTCTTGGTTAATGGGGCGAATTCTGGAGGTTTTTCCAGATAAAAATGGACTTGTTCGTTCTGTGCGAGTACAAACTAAAACCAGTGTACTTGAGAGACCCGTGACAAAACTTTGTCTGTTGTATGACAACATGGAAATATAATGGACTGATGGTAAAGACTGTTAAATTTGACACCTACACAGAATTGATTAATGCAATGTTTATAGTGTTGCTTTAATGGCTCTTTGTATGTACATTGTTGAATTGTTATGTCTACCTGCCATGTACAATTAGGGGCCGGGGTGTAAGAGCCATTATGTTTTTTGTAATGCTGTTTTTGACCACTGGGTGGAGTGGGGGTTTGGAGGAGTATATAGGTAGACAAAGACTTAGAACAACAGGTGTGTAATTAGAGGGAAGAACAACATTTTTTGACCGTGTTTGAAAGAGCTTTATGGAGGCATTCAATGTGATTTTATGAGCATTTATATATCAGACTGTGAGTGGAAATTGAACCATAAGAACTGTCTGTGCAAAAAATAAATCTGATAAGCAGTATTTGGAGGACAATTGTTTGTTGAGCTCTCACGCGTCAGAAACAACCCTACAACACCTCAAGTGACAAAATGGTCATTTGTGTCACTACAAAGCCTCGTCATCGCTATAGTCAACAGTTTCTCTTTCTTTCAAATATATCACCAGCCCAAACACATGTAATTCACCAAAATGTTTGACACACACACATAGCCTACTGTAATGTCGCACTAACACATTGATTTAATAACTTTCACAAAGTGAAAATAAAGTGACATTTTGAAATGACAGAAAAACACAAACCGGGGTAAATACAACACGCGAAACATAAACGGCTTGCGATTAGAATCAACAGCAAATCAGCCAGCAGAGTATCAGTAACAGACTTTTATTGGTCATTTCCCTGCTGAAAAATCCAGCTTAAACCAGCCTATGCTGGTTAGCAGGTTTAGTTGGTCGACCAGGCTGGTTTTAGAGGGTTTTTGGCCACCTCCAGGCTGGTTTCCAGCCTGGTCTTAGCTGGTCAGGCAGAGAGATGACCAGCTAAAACCAGCTTGACCAGCCTAGCCAAGCCTGGAGCCCAGCCAAAACCAGCTATATCCAGCTTAAACCAGGCTGGTCAAGCTGGTTTTAGCTGGATTTGGCTGGTCATTTTCCAGCCTGACAAGCTAAGACCAGGCTGGAAATGGCTGGAAACCAGCCTGGAAAGGGCCCAAACCCCTCTAAAACCAGGCTGGTCAACCAGCTAAAACCAGCCAACCAGCCTAAGCTGGATTAAGCTGGATTTTTCAGCAGCGTTTTGTAAATTGCATGACTTGCATATCTGTTAAGTTTCAGTCCAGTAATTTGGTTTGCTCTATGATGCAGTGAAGTATTGCGTGCGTGTGTGTGTGTGTGTGTGTGTGTATTGAAGAGCCACTGAGCTATCAGCTGACAGGCTGGGGACACACACACACACACACACTGTATTTATGACAGCAGACACGTGAGCTAGGAGAACGTTTTTCTCTCGCGCTTGAACCACATCTGACAGATTATAATGGCTTTAACATACACTTTTCCGAAGTTGTGTCACAAAACCACTCTGTGATTCACTCAAAATGCTATTGAAACCCATTTTCGCAGTGCAAATTACCAGATGTAAAGGGTGTAAATGGAAGTTCTAAGCATTCAGCAGCCAAGAAAAATGTCTTTAATACGAAAGTTAATGTATGCTTCATTCACTGCTATAGTTGAACTGAATTAACTAAATTGGCCGTAGCTTATGAGTGTGTGTGAATGTGAGAGTGTATGGGTGTTTCTCAGTACTGGTTTGCGACTGGAAGGGCATCCGCTGTGTAAAACATTTGCTGGAATAGTTGGTGGTTCATTTAACTGTGGCAAATGAATGAATCATTATATTAACAAAAACTTTGCAAACCTCTACTAATTTTGGCCACCATGGTAAACAGCTCCTCGCGGAGACTGCCGTCTAAACCAGAACGCCACAGCACCCGCGAGACCTATATGAGACGGGCCGAGGGAGAAGGAGATGGAAAAAAAAGGAAGAAAGACAGAGTAGACAGAGAAAGGGGAGAGAGGAAAAAGAACAAAAAATTGGGGTTCGGTTCTCCAGACACGCTGCCACTCGGTCCTCCACCAGCTGAGAGATGCGACGACGTGCTGGGAGCCCTGTGGAGGAATCTATCCACCCGTTCGTCTTCTGGCGTCCGGCGGCGGTTCTCCTGGCTGGCTGGCGGCATTTCTGGTCTCCTGCTCCGCTCCCGCTTCAGTGGACGGATGCAGGCTCTGGCATCATGGCGGATCGCGGCGACTCCCCCGGGTTCTGTGGGATGGCTCCCTTCAGCACTTTCCCCTCGGGTGGTGAGCCCCGTGTCCCCTGCTCCTTCCCATGCTGGGAGACGGCAGCAGGCAGATCCTTTCCTCGCCAGCCTCAGGCCGCCCCGGCACTCTGGGCAGACGACCGGGTTTCTCCCCCACTCGGGTTAACTCCCAAACACTCGCCCCTCTCTCTCAGCGACGAGGGCATCTGGACAACGCGTCCGTCCTTCTCCCAAGCTTCGGCACCACTGTAATAAAGTTCACGGCTCTTTGGCCGCCGGGAAGAAGGAGGCGGAGAACCGACGCAGTTTTTAACTGATTTATTAATAACAGTGACGGCAGCTCCTCACGGAGGCTGCCATCTAAACCAAAACAAACGGAAAGCAAAAGTAAAATATGTCCGTGCCCGGTCCTCTCTCGGCTTCCTCTGCCATCGGTCCTCTTTTTATGGTCCAGAGCTCCTTCCGTGGGATCCGAGGCAGGTGCGCACCGCAGGTGTATCCACCTACGCGGTGGCCTCACTCCGGTCCCACAGCTCTCGGCCACGCCCCCTCGCCACACACGTTTACCTTAAATGCACACAATAGTGAAGCATCAACATAGTTAGTTTGTGGTTAGCTTAGTTTAGCTAAAAAAAAAACAAACATTTGTTTTATCCGTAGTAAAAGGGTGGGTGAATTTGGTAAGGGCAGCACCTTAGCACTTAACCTTGCAGGAATCCTTTTGAGTCTAAAGGATTTGCTGGTTTTCATGTTTGTTGCTTGTGCCTGGTTGATGGTAACTTGTCTTCACTGATTTAGGACTGATGACACTGAAAGATGAAACTGAAGATCTGGATGAAAATGAAGAGAAGGACCAATATGAAAAGCACGATGATTTAAAGACGGAAGAACAATCCACGTTGACTAAGAAGACTTCATCACAGAAAACCAAACCTAACTCTTTTTTCTCTAGCCATCATTGTGGAAAAGGTTTGAACAGTCAAACATATCCTGAAGACCGCATAAGAGTTCGCCGTGGAAAGAAACTTTATATGTGCCAACAGTGTGGGAAAAGTTTCAGTCACAGACGACATCTTGAAGTTCACATGAGAGTTCACACCGGAGAGAGACCTTTCATCTGCCAGCAGTGTGGAAAGTGTTTCACCCAAAAACAAAATCTCAGTATTCACCAGAGAGTTCACACCGGAGAGAAGCCTTACACCTGCAAGCAGTGCGGAAACAGTTTCACACAAAAGCATTCGTTTGAAGTACACGCAAGAATTCACAACGGAGAGAAGCCATATCCCTGCCCGCAGTGTGATAGGAGATTCAATGTAAAACAAAACCTTGAGGTTCACATGAGAGTTCACACCAGAGAGAAACCGTTCACCTGTCAGCAGTGTGGAAAGACTTTTGCTCATGTACAGTCATTGAATAGCCATAAACGAGCTCACACTGGAGAGAAGCCGTACGCGTGCTTCCTGTGCGGAAAGAGTTTCACTCAAAAACAAAATCTTGATCTTCACAAGAGACTTCACAGTGGAGAGAAGCCTTACGCGTAACTCTTTTCATTCAAAAAGGAAACATGCAAATTAGAGCTATTCACCAATCTGTTTGGATCTGAAAACCCAAGATTCTACGTGATAGGTTTAGGTCCAAGATTTTGACATGCTTCAGAGACAGGTCAGGTTTGGTGTTTATTGTGAACGACATTGATTTTTGGGAATGGTTGGATTGGAAAATCAATGCTGTCTAGTTTGTTTGGACTCAATTTATGCACAGCAGATTTGGGTATTTTGGGAGCTTAGTGTGGGTGATAATCGACTAAAGAGGACAATGCAATTCAGTGTTTTAAGACAAGGGTGTCCAAACTCCTGGAGGAGGCCAGTGTCCTGCAAAGTTTAGTTCCAACCCCAATCAGACAAACCTGGGCTTGCTAATCAAACTTTTACTAGGCTTTCTAGAAACATGGTGTGTTAAGGCAAGTTGGAGCAAAAATCTGCAGGACATCGGCTCTCCAGGACTGAGTTTGGACAGCCCTGCTCTAAGCATTTTGATGGATTAACATTCATAAGTTGTTCTGGCACTTTTAATTTGTTTTCTTTTAGAGACGACCCTTAAACTTTAATGAAGTAAAGTAAGCATTGTGAAGTACCATTTCTCGAAATTGGTCCTGAGTATCAAGGATAGGAGAGTTTGGGTCATTCACTCATCTTTCCTAATCTTCATCCTTATGCTGCGTTCACACCAGACGCGGAATGTGCGTCAAGCGCGAGTGATTTACAAGTCAATGCAAACGTGCGAATAGACATACTGAGATATTTCAGCAGTACTTCAAATTGAGCATGTCCCAGTTTGATGACCTGTTGTCTTGTGTCAGCAGGAGGATTTCCCCTCGGGACACCAACTACAGGCACTATGGCATAATCAGGCCATACTAGAGCAAGCTTCTGATTGGTTAAAGCGAGCAATTCAAGCATTAACTGCGTCAAACTCCCAAAATGCTCAAGTCGTATCATGTCATTTGCTCGATTTGCGTCATTCGTGCCGCAGGATGTCTATTCGCGTATTTGCATTGACTTAACATGTACATCACTCTTGCTTGATGCTTCATCCACATCAGGTGTGCACACACCATAATGGTGTTCAGTTGGGTTGAGGTTAGGACTCTGGGCAGGCCACTGCAGTTCCTCCACACTAAAGACCTCATTGCTGTTTTTTGGAGCTTTCTTTGTGCATTGGTAGACATTCATATTGTAACAGGAAGGTTCCATCCCAAAATCCGTTCGCACAAAGTTGGGAACGTGAAATTGTCCAAAATGTTTCGGTATGCTTAAGTATTAAGAGTAAAGCCTGGTTTATACTTCTGCGTCAAGTGACCGGCGTAACTCACGGCGGAGGCAACGCGCTTGGCTGTGCATTTATACTTCTGCGCGCTGTCTCTGTCGGTCTGCATTAACACTTCCATAACGCTAGTTGGCAGTGAGGTGTAAATGTTCCTCTGTGTCGAGTTTCTTTGCTTCTGTTTTGCTTTTCCTGAACACTTCCTGGTTGTAAAAGTGACTCAAACTCGCTCATTTTGAGGCAGGAACCGGCGGACGTGCAACAACTTTAACTATGAGGTAAACACAAAACAAAACTTTCCATCCGGAGCTCCTTCACGGGACTCCACACTTGTAAACAATTGCTCGCACCATTCGCGCGGCTCTCGGTCCCGCCCAGACTCGTCAGCGATACCAAGCCGACCAATCACAGAGCTTGCGCTATGCGTCGTTGCGACGTGTAGTTACAAATTTTGAGAGGTGCACGTCAGCGACGGCCACGGCGAAGGGCTATGCGTCAGCGCCGTTTGACGCAGAAGTATAAATCAGCCTTTACTTTCACTGGTACAGACTAGAGAGTAACCGAGCCCAAACCCCTAAAAAACAAAATTTTAACAATGATTATTGTTAAAGTGGAATTTGTGTTTAAGGGCTTATTATTGACATGTCATCGCTCTTCAGAGTAAAACTGAAACTGTGTCATTACTTTTTCTGTATGTCAAGCTATTTGTTTCCTCAGGACCTTCAGGCCCATCCAAGAAGACCTCTCATGTGGAACTGATGCTACTTGAACAGTTGTCACTATATGTGAATTTCACTGTGTTAAAGAATAAATTATTTTAATATTCTATTGTATAAAAGAGACTTTTTATGTTTGGTAAACTCCCAATGGAAAGACGTTTATTGTACCTTTCTGATAAGATCCCTGCTAGGGAGCAGAACAGCCTTAAAGTAGATGCGTATTCTTTGTGTATGTTTGTGCTGTTCTGTCTGGGTTTTAACCCAGGGGTTCCCAAACTTTTCAGCACGCGACCCCTAAAATAACAATGCCAGTGACTCGCGACCCCCAATATCCTCTGAGGTGGTTATAAATACAGAAAACTTGCATTCAATGGCGCACACACACACCAATAGACCCAAGTCTATTCTTCGTTTAATTTTTTTATGTATGTCAGTGCTGTAAATGGGCCAGAAAGTTTAACCTGGTGTTATAAAATCAATCTGCTGCATCTGACGCTATTGCTGTCTTTAATATAATGTATTTACCCTAGGGGTCGCAATCCAATAGAACAAGTAAATAAGCTACTATAGTAACTATAAACGACTGTTTTTTTCTCTTCAGTTGGTTATGGATAAAATATGGTAATTCTTATGGCCTAATAATAATAAGTAGATTTTTGGAAATCACCAGGCGACCCCCCTTCATTGTTCCGCGACCCCTCAAGGGGTCCCGACCCCCACTTTGAGAACCACTGTTTTAACCAATAAGGTAAAACAGCTCTATGTATGACGCGGTTAGTAACGTTATGTTAGTGTATAACTGTTGTTGTTTTGAGGTTGTGCAAGCGTTGAAGCTGGCTTCCCCTAATGAAACTGCAAACTATCTTCAGTAAACTTTCTTAGATTGAATCTCTGACTCTGGCTACTCTTCATCTGACACACCAGTAGTTTTTGGGGTTAAAACTGTCTGTAGGAGCCATTTGGCAACTTTGCTCATTGTTCCACTTGGTGGTGCTCTTTAAACAGGCTTTATGAATGGGAACGAACATTCAGGTAACAGGTGTTGCTAGACGGAAGGGAGCACGTACAGTTTTGACCACACACTCACACACACACTTTCACACACACAAACACAAACAAACGCTCGCGCGCATTCACACAGAGAGCCACACACATTCATTCATGCTTTAGCGTGACGGTTTTGTTTGTAAGTCACGATATGTGGCGGTGTTTGACTTCTACGAACGGAAACTTACCTGGAAGAAAATTTTTGAACTATTGGAGTTTGCAAGTGCAATAAACATAAACATCTACGGAAACAAGTAAGACTGTTCATTTCATTTACACTTCATAATCCAGAGGACAGTGTGCGTCAGCTGGGTGCCTGTCTAACAACATCTCGGGGACTTCAAGCAATAGGCTTAGCCTCTACACCAGGTGTCTCAAACTCGCGGCCCGCGGGCCATTTGCGGCCCTCAGTGCAATATTTTGTGGCCCGCGCCGACCGATGTACACTGACAGAATCAGCGGAGCGGGGAGAGAGAGCGCTCCCCGCTCCGCTGATTCTATCCGTACACAGCGGTCACTGGCATTCCCCACCCGCCGTGTAAACAAAGGGGCGGGGGTGCCGGTGACGTCACCACGCACCCCGCCCCTTTGTTAGACGCTGTGACGGGCGAGAAGTGTTAGGAGGGAACTCGCGCCGGCCAGAACCAAGGTAAGCTGTTCCCGCCCCTGCCTGCCACTTAGCTACCTATCTGCAGCCTGCCACCTACCTAGCTACAGCCTGCATCTTATATATATTATAGGTAGATACAGACTGATGTGACTGGAGTGGGGTGGGGGTGTTTTATTTATACATATATACGCTTTTTTTAGGTGAGGGAATGGAAGTTTTGAGTGAGTCTAGACAGGTCTAGACTTAATGATGATCATCTTCAAGCCATACTGAGGGTCTCGACTGCTTCCGCTCTAAAGCCAAATGTGGTTCAGATTTGTGAGAAGAAGCCCTGTCAAGTCTCTGGCAGCAAGGAGTAGGCAAAAGATGCCATGTTCAGAAGAACTGTTCATAATCTTCACTCAATGTTCTATTAATGTTCAGGACACTTCATGTTCAGAAGAAATAATTAAAACTGTTAATAATGACATTTGAGGACTTTTTTTTGTGAAATCCCTTATGCGGCCCAGCCTCACCCAGACTTTGCCTCCTGCGGCCCCCAGGTAAATTGAGTTTGAGACCCCTGCTCTACACTGTCCGTCCCCAACACTTTACCTTTGGCACAAAGCAGTCAATATGGTACAAGTACCAAGACAGATTGTTCACTCCACACACTCAGAAATAAAGGTACGCGAGCTGTCACTGGGGTGGTACCTTTTCAAAAGGTACAAATTTGTACCTAAAAGGTCCATATTAATACTGTCACGGTTTATGGATCTGTGTGTTCCTCCTGTATGTTATGTATCTTGCCTTGTGTGTTGTCATGTGTGAGGGTGTGTGTTTGTTTACCTTTTGTGTTGACAGCCTGCTATAGGATCAGCTGATGTCATCAGCTGACTTAATCATCTTCCAGCTGGTCCTTATTTGCCTGGCTATATATTTCCTCATGTTGTATGTTCTGGTTATCAGTCCGTTGTTTGTCTTGTTCCTGTCTGTTGTTTTCCAGAATCCTTCGTTGTTCATTGAAGTCTTCATTGTGACCCGTGGCTCTCTTGTTTTGAACTTTCTTGTCTCTAGTTCACTCCAGTGATATCCTTTGTTACATTTTTCAGTTTTATTAAACACTTGCAATTGGATCCTTTTTCGTCTAGTGTTGTGACAAATACAGTAAAGGTACATATTTGTACCTAAAAAGTACAAAGGTTTTCCTCTTAAACTTTTTAGGTACTAATATGGACCCTTCAAGTACAAATGTGTACCTTTTAAAAAGGTACCACCCCAGTGGCAGCTCGCGTACCTTTCTGAAAGTCCAGAGAACAAGTCTCCTCTTTTCTTGAGTCAGCGGTGGGCTGCTTAACACGGCATCCCAACACTGTATTCACATTGTACTTGCTGTTAAAAAGCTTTGATGCAGCTGCTTAGCCTTGGAAACTGTTCATGAGCCTAATCTGCAGGCCACAGGTTATCTCGAGCAGCCCTGCTTTAGATGAAATCTGAAAGACCTCTAATCCTCAATAGGCAGGAAGAGTTGTCTAGAAGGGTGTCAAAAACATCCTCAGTGGTTCAGTGTTTTAATATTTTCAAGCTAAAAGTATGCAATTGTGCACACAAAAACAAAAATAGCAACTTTATTCAATAATTTTTCCAGATTAGTGTCACAGCACACGCTGTGCTGTTCTTGAATGTGCATAACAATCCATAGCAGAGCTGACGTGTACCCTGAATGTGCCACTTTTGGCCTATTTCCACTGAAGGATACGCTTCGGTACGCTTTTATGGCCGTTTCCACTGTCAAAAGGTACCTAAAAGTGAACCATACCATGCCACTTTTTGGGTACCCTTTGCAAAAGGTACCCAGCCTGGCAAAAGGGTACGAAAAGGCAGAGCTAAATGAGTAGCCGAACGCTATCGGTTTACAGAGATACGTCACTTGGTCATGTAACAAGCCAGAATGAAAACAAAGGAAGCGCCATGTTTTAAATACACAGCCGAGACATTACACCGTAATAATATATACATATAATAACAAGCCATGGCCGACACGAGCTCAAACAAACCTTGCCGTCGTCTTGATGAACAGCCACAAAGCCAAAAAAGAAAAGCTGATTCTACCCAGTCAGGCCCGGATTGGCTAATTGGGAGGACCGGGAGAATTCCCGGTGGGCCAGTCTGTTTTTTGGCCGCGAGGGCCGGTGTCCCTAGCTCCAGAATCTGTTGCAGTCACACTTTTTAAATTAATGTATTTATTTACTTGACCACAGTCTTCTTATTCATTATTTTACCGCAGCTCTGCTCTTTTTATCTATTTTCTCGCAGCCTCATGAGCAAGATGCAGCCTGCAGGTTAATGATGATATAACTCAGATGAGTCATCTCTTAACGTACAGCTGTTGTGGTTGAGTGCTTAGCACGTTAGGTTGTGACGCCACTGACCTGGGTTTGATCCTTGTCTGAAAAGTTGATTTTGTCATTATTATTGTTAAGACATATAATACTGTTAGGGTTGTTGAACATTCGAAGTTCTAAAGCAGCTGTTTTCTCAAAAAAAAAAAAAAAAAGATGTGATAGTGTAATTAGAAACTGAACTGGAAATGACCTTATTTTAATATAGTCAGTCGTGAACTGAGTGTCATGACTGTGTTTGTCCACCAGATGCCACTGTAGTTCGCCAGCAAACCCCAGCGGACTACATTTCCATACATTCTTTCGCACACACACCTGGTCTGTCATCTACACTGATTTACTACCACAGCTGTCTCCATTCTCTGTGATTACCTGAACTATATATTCAGTCATTCATGCTCTGTTGGTCGTTGTCGTTCTTGGTATGTTGTTCCTGTAGCTTGTCAAAGTCTAGTTCGAGTTAATCTGTCTTAGTTTCTTGTTTTGTTTTGTTTGTTTGTTTGCTTGCTATTTTGTTACTTTCTTACTTTGATTTTGGGATTTTTGTCACTGTCACTGCACAATACATCAAATAAACTGCACTTGGATTCTACATAGTGGTGGGCAAAGCGAGGCTTTGTGAAACACTGAAACTATCGAAGCAAATGTGTCGAAGCTTCGAAACGTTTCGAAACACCACTCTACGGTGACACCTAGTGGTCATTTTATTTGTATTTCACTGAAACAGCTTCAGCAAAGAACAATTGGGCAAATTGAGGTATGAAACCCCTTTTTGTTGGCTTAATTAAGCAAATGGTTTAGTCGAGCGGTTAGAGTTCGTGACCACCATGCGGCAATAATGGGTTTGAATCCATACTGATACAGTTATTTTGAAATGCTTTAATACCAGTTGGTAATGCTTTGGTATTGTTAGTGGTGGGCAAAGCGAGGCTTCGTGAAACACTGAAACTATCGAAGCAAATGTGTCGAAGCTTCGAAACGTTTCGAAACACCACTCTACGGTGACACCTAGTGGTCATTTTATTTGTATTGCACTGAAACAGCTGCAGCAAAGAACTGTTGAGCAAATTGAGGTATCAAACCCCACTTTGTAGCCCTGAATAATGAAATGGTTTAGTTGAGCGGTTAGAGTTTGTGACAACCATGTGGGAATAATGGGTTCGAATCTAGGCTAATACAATTGTTTTGAAATGCTTTATTACCAGTTGGGAATGCTTTGTTATTGTATCGCTTTGTTTCAACATTGCTCTGACATCTGAATAAACACCTTGTAGATAAATTTGTATTGTTTTGTTCATAAAACAGGGTTGTTACTAGATACAGTTGTGGCCAGAAGTTAACAACAATTATTTATATTATTAATTAAATTTCCCATTGTATTTTATTAACGTCTATCCAAAACCTAAACCCATCACAGTACTGTAAAAATATGAATTATTGTTTTACAGTGTTACAAAAAAGATGCTAAATTGATGGCATATCCGCAGCTGTATCCTATCGAGACTACACCATAAAACAGTAACATGATTAAAATACATAAAATCATGATTTTGGAGTATTTGTACTAGTCGAGATTCGAACCCAAAATAAATTTGAAATACAGCACCATAGTGTACACGCACAGTCCACTAGGCCATACTAGATAGTATCATATTGAAGATCATGCCAGTCAAATGCAGATTCTCCGGGTCTTGAAACGCCTCTGAAATGATCGATGCTTTGAATCGCTTTTGTCACGTGACCAAGTGTTTCGAAACACTTTAGTCACGTGACCTGGGTGTTTCGGATCATGCTTCGGTGCAGTGTTTCGAAACACTTGCGCTTCGGGATCTCGACACTGTGTCAAAACGTCAGTTTCACGTCAGCCATCCCTAGGTATTGTATCGTTTTGTTTCAACATTGCTCTGACATACGAATAAACACCTTGTAAATAAATTTGTATTGTTTTGTTCATAAAACAGGGTTGTTGCTAGATCAGATACAGATGTGGCCAGAAGTTAACAATAATTATTTATATTATTAATTCAATTTCCTATTGTATTTAATTAACGTCTCCTTCACACTGTTATAAAGATGGCTCCTAACGTCTATCCAAAACCTAAACCCATCACAGTACTGTAAAAATATGAATTATTGTTTTACAGTGTTACAAAAATGATGCTAAATTGATGGCATATCTGCAGCTGTATCCTATCTACACCACAAAACAGTAACATGATTAAAATACATAAAATCATGATTTTGGAGTATTTGGGATTCGAACCCAAAATAAGTTTGAAGCACAATACCAATGAGCTCACGCACTGTCCACTAGGCCATTCAAGACAGAGTCATAAATATGATCATGCCAGTCAAATGCAGATTCTCCGGGTCTTGAAACGCCTCTGAAATGATCGATGCTTTGAATCGCTTAAGTCACGTGACCAAGTGTTTCGAAACACTTTAGTCATGTGACCTGGGTGTTTCGGATCATGCTTCGGTGCAGTGTTTTGAAACACTTGCGCTTCGGGATCTCGACACTGTGTCGAAACGTCAGTTTCACGTCAGCCATCCCTAATTCTACACCTGTTTTTGTTCCTGTTCTTGATCACCTTAACGTGACACTGAGGTGGGCCGGTCTGAGGCTTGAAACTCCAGGGCTGGAAAGGAGTCCCACTCCGGCCCTGTACCCAGTGCTCTGTAGTTTTTCATTTTTGTGCATCTGTATTTGAAATAACAAACTTCAAATGTGATTATTGAAGTGCTTCTCACATCCGATCCTGTCCGAAATGAACAAATGATTCTTTCAGCAACCTAAAACATGAATAAAAACTGTCAAGTTTAACTATTATCATCACCTTTTGGCCTATTATGAACTCAGAATGACGGAATTACTTTATTGACCTTATTCTGCAATGCAGAAGTGCGCTCATATTGCGATTGTTTTAGAACTTTCGATTCAGCTCCCTATGGGAGAAATGACTAGGAATAATAAATGGCAGAAAACGGTCAAACTACTCGCTCTACAAACAAGCGTGTCCATGACTATACAGTCAAAATAGAATCATATAATAAGAAAAATATCAGTTTGCAACATCAAGCAGCATAACGAGATGCTTTTAACGTCCAAAAATGAATGGAAGTGAATGAGACCAGAAGTCTCAAGCCTAAAAGATTCAAATGGCTGCACGGAGAATAGGGTACATAACAAGAGGTTACATGTGCTGGTAACAATTAAAGACACATATGAGAGGTTTGCACTGACTGTGGGCTATATTTTGTGTTGTTTTAAAACCCAAGTAAGGACTAAATGTCTGCTGTGTGTAGTTTTTCTGTAATTGGTAACATATCGGACACTGTAAGGGTCTGTATGTGTTCATGTTGCATTTATTTATTTTATATAATGGCAGACGTAACAGTAGGTTTTTTCGCACTATCATTGATCTGCAGTTATAATCAAATCATGTTCATAGAAAGGTTAGTAATGAACATTTGTACACAAGTATATATGTGTATACAGCGTATGTTTTGTGAGAACTGCTTCTTATATGATAGGCTATGTGAACGACCCGTACAGCTTTACTGTAGACATTTCCTTGAGGAAATTGGTAATATTTGTAACCCACCACTCAGTGGAAAAGGGCTTTTTGTTTCAAACACAGTGAATGTGCACTTTTTATGACCATCAACCATGCTGAAAAAAACAGCTTAAACCAGCCTAGGCTGGTTGGCTGGTTTTAGCTGGTCGACTAGGCTGGTTTTAGAGGGGTTTTGGCCATTTCCAGGCTGGTCTTAGCTGGTCAGGCTGGGAGATGACCAGCTAAAACCAGCTTGACCAGCTTAGCCAGGCTGGGAGCCCAGCCAAAACCAGCTATGTCCAGCTTAAACCAGGCTAGTCAAGCTGTTTTTAGCTGAATTTAGCTGGTCATTTTCCAGCCTGACAAGCTAAGACCAGGCTGGAAATGGCTGGAAACCAGCCTGGAAATGGCCAAAACCCCTCTAAAACCAGCCTGGTCGACCAGCTAAAACCAGCCAACCAGCCTAGGCTGGTTTAAGCTAGATTTTTCAGCAGGGAAGAGAAAAAACTGCTGAATAACGTTGGTTTTTGTTAACAGAAAAGTCTTCTTGTAGCTTCATAAGTCATTCAGGTTTTCGCTGAAGACACAAGCCAAGGCTCAGCATTCAGTTTGTGGTTCAGGGTTGCGGTCACATGTTTCTATCCCACCTATTTTTATGCGCATTTTGGAAATGGAAATGCCAAGATGCACATGATTTTTTTTTTAAACTGAGTAAGATTAACTTTTTTCCAGATCTTTTTATTACCATTTTGGTCAATAAAACATCAATTTCAAAATTATTTGAAAAACAAAGACAAATTATCTTTGCTCCAACAGAGCCTGCCACCCCACTTCTATACATTATCTTATGCCCATTTTTTTAGTAGTTGACTATAGCATGGATTAAAAACATATCCTACATTAATATCGGTCACATCCATCTCAAAAACGTTTTGGTCCAGAAAATTCATGTGCTTTCCATGCAAACTTTGAATCCAACCACATACCTAAAAAACATTTTAGTTTCAACAGTCTATTAGATAGTGCTAATGTTGTTTTAAAGTCTTGCATGCTAATTCTGACTGAATATTCAAATTGGCGTGGTAAACAATACAGAGACAGTCAAATGAACAAATGTGCGAATATAAAACTAACTTTACCTCAATTTTATGATGAGACATGTTCTTTTTAAAATGTGGTTTCACATTTCCTGTTAATAAAATCAAATTTGTTATACTTATAGTAAACAAAGTTGTACTTTGATAATCATTTGCTGCTTATCCTTATTTAGAATTTGCAGAGAATACTTTTCTGAAATTATATTATTAAGGAGAATGTCTGAATATCGGAATATATAACCAGCTTTACTTTTATCATCATTAAATAGAGCTGGCTGCAATTATTTTAGGTTTGTGGACGAGACTTTTATTTTGGTGTGGTGGCGTGACGTCACAAGGGGGCGCCGCGCTTCGTGTCTGCGAGTGTACAGAAGAAAGGTTTGTTTATAAGCTTTTACAATTAACAGCACGACAAAATACTTTCACTCAGTTATAGTTTGGCGTGATGCTAAATGTATTATTTATCGTTGACCGTTGAGGAACATTAACCACATCTAACAGCTCCCTTACTGGTGTTTATGAACAGCAGCTCATAACGCTTCATTTCTGATGAGAGGAAACGAGAGATGACAAAAACTGTGATACACGTTTAAGTCACTTATTCACTGTCCAGATTTGTCTTATTTTGTTTTATTTTTACCCCCTTTAGTTCTGATAAACAAACATTAGTGAAGTGCTTTTGTGTGTGTGTGTGTGTGTGTGTGTGTGTGTGTGTGTGTGTGTGTGTGTGTATTAGTAGCTTTAGTCTCACAGACATCACTTAGTAAAAGTAAGATTATTAACACTAACCACAGCCAATTTAACAAGCTTCAACGTTTTTAAACAGTAACATTATAGATGTGTTAAATATTACTGTATTGTACAGACTACACAGGATTTACTCTGAAGAAGCCATACTATTACAACTATCTTCTGAATTCGTATTCTTTGTTTTTAGTTTTTCTGAATGGCATTATTTTACCGTCTTTAACTCTCTTTCTGTTGATTATTCTCCTCTTAAATACACAGAGGAAAACTCCTGCTGAAGCGACTGATCTCCACACTGTTATAAAGATGGCGTTTATTAAAGTGGAGAGCGAAGACCTGAAGATTGAAGAAACATTCACAGTCAATCATGAAGATCTGCAGGAACAAACAGGTTGGTTTTCATTCTCAAAGATCAACTCAGTCATTTGATCCTCATTCAGATCTGCAGATCTACACAAATGAAGGACAAATTTATTACACTGCAAAAAATGCTTTTCTTACTTAGATTTTTTTGTCTTGTTTCAAGTCCAAATATCTACAAATTCTTAAATCAAGAAGCATTTTCTAGACGAGCAAAACATATTGTCTTGTTTTAATAAATAATATGCCAAAATGAAGCGAGTTTTTTCTTAAATCAAGCTAAATAATCTGCCAATGGGGTTAGCAAAATAATCTTATCACAAATCGAAAAAAACACGATTATTTTGCTTACCCCATTGGCAGATTATTTAGCTTGATTTAAGAAAAATTTGCTTCATTTTGGCATATTATTTATTAAAACAAGACAATATGTTTTGCTTGTCTAGAAAATGCTTCTTGATTTAAGAATTTGTAGATATTTGAACTAGAAACAAGACAAAAAATCTAAGTAAGAAAAGCATTTTTTTGCAGTGTAATAATGCAAAATGAAAGTGATTTTATTGGACAAACACTAATGATGCATTTATGTGAGCCTAAAAAGGTGTTACTTCTGAGTTACTTCTGGGCAGAAAAATGTAAAAATACATTAATTAAATAATTTTTTTTTACTATCAAGCATACATTTGTGAATGCACACATTATGGAGCCCCCCTAAATATTAATGAAGATCGAGGTCAGAGATGCCCAAACTGTGGCCCACAGAGCAAAGTTGGCTCATGGTAAACTTGATTTGTGTGTAAACTTTGAATGGTGTAGAGCAGGGGTTCTCAAACTTTTCAGCCCACAACCCCTAAAACAGGGGTGTCCAAACTTTTTGGGCCGAGGGCCAGATGCAAAAAAAACAACGTTGTCGCGGGCCAAATTTTACACACATCACACAGACACACATATATTTATATATATATATATATATATATATATATATATACAGTTGAAGTCAGAATTGTTAGCCCTCGTTTATTTTTTCCCCAATTTCTGTTTAACGGAGAGAAGATTTTTTTCCACACATTTCAAAACATATTAGTTTTAGTAACTCATTTCTAATAACTGCTTTATTTTATCTTTGCCATGATGACAGTAAATAATATTTGACTATATATTTTTAAGACACTTCTATACAGCTTAAAGTGACATTTAAAGGCTTAACTAGGTTAATCAAGTTACAAGTTAAGGTAATTAGGCAAGTTATTTTATAACAATGGTTTGTTCTGAAGACTTAAGGGGCTAATAATTTTGACCTTAAGTGGTTCATAAAAAAATTAAAACCGCTTTTATTCTAGCCGAAATACAACAAATAAGTCTTTCTCCAGAAGAAAAAATATTATCAGACATACTGTGAAAATGTTCTTGCTCTGTTAAACATCATTTGGGAAATATTTAAAAAAGAAGAAATAAATCAATGAGGGGCTAATAATTCAGACTTCAACTGTGTGTATACAGACAGACAGACAGACAGACAGAAAGACAGACAGACAGACAGACAGACAGACAGACAGACAGACAGACAGACAGACAGATAGATAGATAGATAGATCATAACAAGAACTGCTGCTTAATTGAATGCATGTAATAGCGACACCCGGTGGTTATTTATTGAATTACGTTAATTTTTGTATAGCGGGCCAGATTCTATTGATATTTATAAAAAGCCTCGCGGGCCGCCACAAAACTGATTGCGGGCCGCAGATGGCCCGCGGGCCGTAGTTTGGACACGCCTGCTCTAAAATAACAACCACAGTGACTCACGATCCCCACTATGCTTAGAGGTGGTTATAAGCATACAAATATTGCACACAATGGTGCACACACACCAATAGGAACTAGAGTTGAGGTCAGAATTATTAGCCCCCTTTGAATTATTATTATTTTTAAAAATATTTCCCAAATGATGTTTAACAGAGCAAGGACATTTTCACAGTATGTCTGATCATATTTTTTCTTCTGGAGAAAGTCTTATTTGTTTTATTTCGGCTAGAATAAAAGCAGTTTTTATTTTTTTTAAAGCCATTTTAGGTCAAAATTATTAGCCCACTTAAGCTTTTTTTTTGATAGTCTACAGCAGGGTTTTTCAAAGTCTAAGACAGTGGGCCTTCCTTTTGACACAACTTATCCATTGGCGCCCCCCTCCTCCCACACACGCACACACACACACACACACACACACACACACACACACACACACACACATATATATATATATATATATACACAGTATATATAAAGACACAGACAGATGTCAGACTGTTAACTCACTTTTATCATCATTTGCATGAAAGTGCAATTATTTACAGAGTAATAACAAGTATTATATGTTAACGTTAGTATTATATGTTATTATATGTTCTTATATGTACATATTATAATATAACGTTTTTAAAACTAGAATGATGGTTCAATATGAATAGAACAGATCCAAGAACTGTCCATCCCAGTCAAAATAGTCGGAAGTTTAGCGGGTCTCATGCTGTCATTAGCCAAAATATCTTGACAAACCACACATAAATGTCGTGGTTCATCATCTGGTCCTGTCCACGTAAATCCTAAACTCAAATACTGATCATCATATCGTCGTCTTTTGGGTTTAAGCCCTGAACTTGAAGGTTTTGAATCGGGGGGTCTCAGAAACCGATCCATTGTATTAGCAGGCATTTACCAGTATTGGCGGGCTTGCCAAACAGAAGCGAATTCACAGCTATGGCCTTCTGGATAAAAAAGGTTTTCTTATTTTTGACGTATTATTTTTTACCTTTGTTTAATTAAAACGTGTAAATATAATAAAAATACATTTAGTAATTAAACTTAATAATTATATTTTTATGATATAACGTTTTTCCCGTGCCTCCCTTGACATGCTCTGGCGCCCCCCAGGGGAGGCGCGCCTCACACTTTGAAAACCCCTGGTCTACAGAGCAAACCATCGTTATACAATAACTTGCCAAATTATCCTAATCTTCCTAGTTAACCTAATTAATCTAGTTAAGCCTTTAAATGTCACTTTAAGCTGTATATTAGTGTCTTGAAAAATATCTAGTCAAATATTATTTACTGTCATCATGGCAAAGGTAAAATAAATCAGTTATTAGAGATGAGTTATTAAAACTATTGTGTTTAGAAATGGGTTGAAGAAATATTCTTTCCGTTAAACAGAAATTGGGGAAAAAATAAACAGGGGGGGCAAATAATTCTAACTTCGAATGTATATAAACATGAGCATATTGACAACACAAAAAAGTGCCAGTCTTACAACCGTATATATTTTATAGTCATTATTCACTTTTTTTTATTTAATATTAAACTCCCATAACGAAAATGGTGAGTACAATGTTTATAGTACAAGACTATTCTCGGTTTAATTTTGGAGCCACTTGAAGATCGCCCTCCTTGTTCAGTCGTGGCCTTTATTTTTAATGTATGTGCGTGCCATAAAGATGTCGAAAAGTTGAACATTGTCTACAAAATCTGCAGTAACTAAAGCTATTGCTGTGATGTTAATCTAGTGAAATAACCACAGGGATCGCAATCCAATGGGGGAAAAACTGAAAGGCTGATGGCTTTTTATTTGTATGTTTTTTTTAATGTAACTTAAATATTAAGTATGTATTAGTGCCATAAATAGATTAAAAATATTAACTAATTAATCAAAAAAACTTTTTTTTGCAATTAATCGCGATTAATCACATTTAAAAGACTGAAACTTGCAATTTTGGTTATTCAAATGTAAAATTAACGTAAACGCAGGACAAAAAAACTATTTAACTTCAAAATATGATTGTTTATTATAATTTTTGTTTAACTTGTAACACAGATTTCTTCATGTAAACAACATACCCACAATAAACCATCAAGATCCTGGCTTGACAGCCATATTTATTACAGAAATAAAAACACAGGCATGTTAGAGCCATTTGAATTTCAAAACAATCAATGCCAATAAAGAAAAACAAATAGATTTCCATGTTAGATTCTAAGTGGACTTCAAAAAAATGCCAAAATACAGGCATTGCTGATATGGAAAATGGAAAATTTTAATAGTAAAGTATTGAATACAAACAATTATACTCATTAAGAAAAGTTTTATTGCTGCGAGTTGAGAACATTAATTTTAAAGTTGAAATTATTTTGCTTAGTCCTCCTTTACATTCAGACAGTTGCTAAGACAGTCCAGTCTGTTGACATTATCGGGGAACAATCTGGACCTTTTTTTTTTTTGAATGATGTAAGCTGAGAGTGAGAACAGTCTCTCACAAGCAGAATCACCAAATCAGCATATGAATTTCGGTGCCTAATTTTGTTGCCACTGTTGCTACGACAAGGACGTAAGAACTTACATCAAAGGCACCCACAGGTACGCATTGTGTCACACCAAAGACTAATTCTTACAGGGACTTTGGTCACACCATCTTTAAACATTTAAATAACATTGGCGTGGGCGATGTTTATTCTTGTTGCTGGGAAACACTTGCACACGCACTCACAATGCGCGCAGGACAGCGCAGCCGGTGAGCGAGGGATCTCTTTAGATTCATCAACACGCATGATCGCGTTCATCAAATTTGCTTAAACTAAGCGTTTTAAAGTATGGCTGTATTTCACAAGGATTCTGACACAGCAATGTGAAGCAGACGCTTTACAAAAGTTGCGTTTATGGGGGTAACACGTCCAATTTAATGAAACATTTGAGGGTGCATGGAATCATCTTAAAGGCAGACGAATGCGTGTCTTTGACAGCTTACGACGCCATCTGGCACTTTCACTGAGTACATTTATATGGACACCAATACTCTGATTTTAATATGATTAAGATAATACTTTAAATAAGAGTACCATGTAAACAGCAATTTTTGATTACCTTAAAGGACCACCGAGTCACAAAGTGCGGAGGTTTTTCTTTCCATTCGGCATGCGGCATCAAATTCCATTAACGCAAAAGAAAGATTAAAAATGAAACACCCAAAATTAGATGAAACTCTGGAGGAAACGCTGGATAGCCTGGTGATGCAACATTAATAGTTTTATACTGAAACTTTCCTTCTAAAAACATGTCCTTGGTCTTATCCATATTTACTTGCACGTTAAACACACGTCGACCGCAACAGGAAATAAAAAAACTGCAACTGCGTCAATTGCGTTATTTTTTTTAACGCGTTAAATATTTTAAATTAATTGCATGCGTTAATGCACTAATTTTGACAGCACTAGTATATAAGAAATATATTTTAAATTAAAAACAATTTTTATATTCTGCAGGTTATGAATAAAATAGGATAATTCTAATAGTTTAATAAAATATATGAGATTTTTGGAAATCACTAAGCAACCCTCCCTCATTGTCCCGACCCCCACTTTCCAGAACCGGTTTCTGGAAAGCCGCAGCCCTGCACAGTTTAGTTCCAACCCTATTTAAATACACTGAAGCTACGGTCACGCTAGAGTTTGAGCATGCGAAATTCTGTTGTATGGTGCTTTGAAAGGGGGCGGGATTAAACAAGATGATTAGACATTTATAAATGTGAGCGATGGCTCCATATTTAAAATGTCTGTCTAGAGAGGTCATGTTTTGATCCTTAATTGGTCTCACGCACTCAAATGATGCGATTTTGCAGGTCAGAGTTCACCCAGCTTGAACTTTCCAATGCAGCGATCTGAGAAACTTGTGAGCTTGTGTTTCCGGTCTGACGCATTCGCGTGCGTATGAATGGAAGTCTATGGGGAGAAAATTCCAGTGTGACCGCAGCTTTACATGTAGGTTTCAAACAAGCCTGATGGACTCTGTTAGTTTGATCAGGTGTGTTTAATTAGGGTTGGAACTAAACTGTGCAGTACTCCGGCCCTCCAGGAACTGAGTTTGACAGCCGTGATTTAGAGATTGTCATTTCAAATTTAGCATAACCTTTTATTTGTTTGTTTTATTGTTAAGCTACAAAAAAAAAAAAGCTTACTGAAATTAAACGTTTCAATTCTATCTGTTAATGAACCAATGGCAAATTGTCGCGCGACTTGTGGTGCAAATAGGGAACGACGCACACATGGTGTCTGCACATTTTTCAGTGCCGCGAGTGCACTGCAATTCATGCAAGTAGAACTAACCAATCTGCTTCACACACTCTATAGAATATACACATTTCAGTAATAATGGTAGACTAAAGGTGCTTTTAAACTAGCACTTTTGGTTCACACCCGGGTTCCTTTGACATCAAAGTATGGTACGTTTAGCTAGTGTAAATGTGTCGTGAACTCTGCTGCGCACCTATGAACCGTATCCATGTCCGCCTGAAAGAGGTGGTCTGGGGTACAGTTTGTGCGAACTCTGTTATGGTTCACTTCCTATGTGAATGCAATCATACCAAATAACGGAAGTTGACCGCCAACAGTAAAATAAACTATCATTTTCATAACATTCGTTCTGGTGTGTGTGTGTCTGTGTATCACCGACCTTGGTGACAAGCGGGACTGACCCAGTGCGACTGACCCAGTGCAAACAGTGATAATGTCTGCTTGTCTCCACCAAGGAGGAAGATCAGAATCAGAAGGAAAAAAGACTGTGTGAACACAAACCAGTCGAGATGATGGCAAGGGAGGGACAATCTAACTTTGGTTCGGTCCAGACAATTGAACAAGTGTGAAGCACCCTAATTACCTCAGGCAAACACAGCGCACCCAAACACTTCAGTGCTTTTTACTTTTCTCCTTAAACTTGTATCAGAGCTGCAGCAATGCATTTGTCATCCTCTGAAAAAACAGTAGATGGTTGCCTAGTTACAGAAAGACAGCTTGCGAGCACGAGTGCTGAGCACATTGTAAATGGTAAAGGAAACCACGCTTGCGCTTTTCACCTGTGAGTTTTAGGTGTCGTCATCGCCACCTCAAGCCAGAATAACATGCGGAAATGAGTGTGGTGGCTAGCAGCAGTAAGGAGATTGTAAATAAAAAGGACGTAAGCATGTCGCCAAAGTGGCTTTTTGGTTTCTTTTCTTGTGCATCCCAGCCACTAGTTTCTCATTTATTAGCATAGGTTAGTCATCCAACTTCACAATTTGTAATGTTGCAGTATGTATTTGATTAATGATGGCTGGTATCTTTATTTGAAAGCTCAGATTTGATGATCATTGTGTTGTTGATAGAGTTGAGGTTTACTGTATCATTGTTATTCACACCTTACAGATGTTAATCTACCTTTACCATTGCACACACTTTGTAACATTTTATTTATCAAGTTTAAGAGTCTCTAAGGGTGCTTTCACACCTGTGAATCGATTCAGTTGTTTCAAAACAGAGATTAAAATTGTTACATTGTTGCTCTTTGCTCTTGGAGCGGTTCGCTTTCACACTGCAAAATTTCTAATCGGACCAAAGGAGCTAAAACAAGTCACGTTTGAGTAAACTCTCCTTACATTGGTCAGAGTGTCACGGTTTATTTTGCAGCGTCCCACTCAGCTGTCAGGAGAGGTGGTGGTTTGGTGGTGATTGACAGGGTGCACGTGCGACGTGTCTGAGGAGAGATGTGGTGGGGATGGGTGAGAAGGGTGCGCGATGATGCCTATTTGAGGACCGGGAGGGAGACGCGAGATTACCGGGAGATCATCACTCATTTGCGGGCATCCGGAGACTCACGAAACTTCCCGCCCTACTCATAATTCTCTCTTCATATAGCCGTAAGCCTATTACATATCCATAAAACACTTTAATATGACCGCGCTCGGATCGGATCGCTTTCTCACTGCAATCGAACTGCTCGTTTCAATCGAGCCGAGACAACCTCATTCAAGCGATCTCGGAGCGATTACATTGGCGCGGAACAGAGCGCGATTGCCCTGTTCACATATGCCAAACGAACCGCGCTAATTGGGCAAACGAGATTGTTTAAATAACTTTATTTTTGATTGTTATGCCTTAATAATGTTGGTAAATTAAAATAAAAAATCACAATATTCCTAAATGGATTGTTACAATATTCAATATTCAATAATTGATACCAGATGATATGAAACATGAACAGTTTGTTTGTCTTTTTTGTTTTAGAATTGTTGGTGCTGAAACAAGAGCAAGAACTGAAGGAAATAGAAGAGAAAGGCCAGTCATTAAAAACGGAGGAAAAATACGCCCCAAACCAAGAAACTTCATCACTGAACAGTGCTCTGAAAACCAAATCTAAACGTTTTCATTGTCATCTCTGTGGGAAGGCGTACAGTAAAAAAGCACACTTTACCTTACACATGAGAGTTCACACAGGAGAGAAACCTTTTACCTGCCAACAGTGTGGAAAAGCTTTCAGACAGAAGCCAGCCCTCGATGTCCACATGAGAGTTCACACCGGAGAGAAACCCTTCACATGCCAACACTGTGGAAAAGGATTTACTCAAAAAAAAGATGTTAAAAATCACACGAGAATTCACACCGGAGAGAAACCTTTCACATGCCAACAATGCGGGAAGAGTTTCCGTATAAAACAGTCCTTGTATGGTCACATGAGAGTTCACACCGGAGAGAAACCGTACACCTGCCGTCAGTGCGGGAAGAGTTTCGCTCAATATCCAACGCTCAGTCACCACATGAGAGTTCACACCGGAGAGAAGTTGTTCGCTTGTGAACAGTGTGGAAGGAGTTTTGCGTATAAACATAGGCTTAAAATCCACATGAGAGTTCACACCGGAGAGAGGCCTTACAAATGCTCACTGTGTGACAAGAGTTTCATTCAGAAACTAACTCTTGACATTCACAAGAGGGTTCACACTGGAGAGAAACCGTTCACTTGCCCACAGTGTGGAAACACGTTCACTCAAAAAGGAAGTCTCAATGTCCACATTAGAAGTATTCACGGGTCCGCTCGGAAACAGAAGCCCAAAGTCCAACGCAAGACCTAAGTGGTTTTGGCTTATGCCAGAGGTGTCCAAACTCAGTTCTGGAGGGCCGGTGTCCTGCATAGCTTGGCTCCAACTTCCTTCAACACACCTCCCTGGAAGTTTCTTGGGCTGCATCCAAAACCGCTTAGTACTTATTAACGTACTACTCGGCCATTAGTAAAGTATGTTCTATACAGTATGAATGTGAGCAGTATGAATGGAACTCAGATGTACTACATCCGCCATTTTGCCAGGGTCAAGTGACCTACATGCGTCAGTTGCGTCGCTTCACTCCCATTCATGAATTCTCTCAAGAGGCTTCATGGGATAGAGCAGCGTGCATAGGAGGCGCACTCCAGAATCTTGTCGGAAGTAGTAAGTCATACTTCCCGCATACTGATTTTTCGAATTCTATGAATTCGGACATTCTACTCGACTCGCATACTGATTTTAGCGTGCTATATAGTATGGAAGTATGCGGTTTTGGACGCAGCCTAGTATTCCTAGAAAGAGCTTGGTTAGCTGGTTCAGGTGTGTGTTTAACTGAGGTTGGAACTAAAATATGCAGGACATGGCCCGCCAGGACTGAGTTTGGACACTCCTGGTGTGTACCTTGGATACAGGTCATGTTCTGTAATAACTGCCTCAGGTCTCGGCCTTTCTTTTTAATTAAATAACTGTGATTTTCTAAATGGACTCAGTTATACCTGATGCCTTTTAACAGAGTGTCTGTTTACAATAAATATTACAATGTATTGAGTAGAGCTAGGCAATGATTAGCATAGTTTGTTATCAGAAATAATCTCACAGCAATTCGTAAGTTTGATTAAGTGGCCAATTAGTATGAATTCATACGATTTCATCTGTAAAATTTAGTACGATTTGCTCACCCACCCAATGACTGTTGGGTTTGATGCCACGCCTCCTTTGGGTTTGGGGGCGGGATTTGGTGCCACGCCTCTTTTTAAAAATTAAACCACTGATGCTGAGTTCAGACTGCGTGATTTTTTTAAAGTGGTCGTGTCACGGATGTTTTCACACTGCATGACTATCTGGGTTAGCGTTATGTCAGTGCTGTGTTTACACTGTAGAATGAATCGGCGACAGGAGAGTTCACACTGCATGACTTTAAAATAGGAAGAATCACAGACAACTTTGTCCAATTTACATCTCACAACCAAACGCAAGAAGTGACTTGGAAGCAACTCTAGGTCACGTAATATCTTTCGTTATTAACTACATAATGAAAAAACAAGGCTTTAGCTTTAGAAACGTGTGTTTCTCACCTGACTTTTGAAGAGAGTTAGCAATTTCTCCTCAACTATTTTTTTACTTTTCGAGCTGATTGTGATATTTCTCTGATGATATGTCAAACAGACAGTCCTCCTGTCAAGTTTACACAAGTTTTTCCTCCATTTCTTGGGTCCAAATAAACTGAAAATAAGCGCTTTTAACGCCTCCTCAGCCTCCCTCTGGCCTGCAGGTACCCATACTAGTGAATGCTACTTTCTGATTGGCTGTGGGTGATTGCTGATGTCATTTTCAGTCAGAACACATTTCACACGGCATGATTTGAATCGTCGACAGCTCCAGATATTTAGCATGACAAATATCAAACTTTACAAGTGTTTTTACATAAGACAGAACCATATTGTGCAAAAGAGGTATTGAAAAAGTGCAACATGATTTGTGGTTCATTCACAGGTAAATGTTTTCCTTTTTGAGTCCTTGTAAAATGGAGTTTAAGTGAAGTGTCTGGTGCAAATGGCGAGCAGAGTGTTTCTACAGGTGGTTCGTTATGATGTTAAGTATTCATTAACCAGTTGTATCAGGTGGCAACTGTATGACGTTGTGGAGTGTCTGTCTAGCAGGCCACCGGACACTTCTTGTGGTCTCGCCTGAACAAAAACAGCACTACATGAAACATTCTTTCTCCCTTAATGTGAATAAAAATAAAATATTTTTAAAGTTATAAACTTTATAAATTAAGTTTATGTTATTCAATGAGCAAAGATACCATGCTAATACTTGACCAACATGTGTCCCTGTCACCAGCTGGAGTGCCCATAAGCAACACTAAAGAACACTCCGCGTATGACCTCTGCCGCTTAGCAGGACTACACTTCCCACAATGTGTTGCACCTCCACAGCTGATACACATTCCTGGAGCAATCATTGATTACCACTGCAGCTGTTCACGATTATCTATTCAAATACAATTTATTCTATTGTCCTCTCTGCCATGTACTCTCGGTTTACTGTGGTACCTCCTCTGCTGCCATTAGAACGTGCTTTTTAGGCATTGAATAATGGTGCAAATACTAATTTAAGTATTTGGAGGAGCGAAATTATATTATTTTTTAGCATGTTCTCCCTGTGTTTCTTCCAGGTCATGAGGTGTCCAAGCTCGGTCCTGGAGGGCCAGTGTACTGCTAAGTTTTGCTCCAACTTGCTTCAACACACCTGCCAGGAAGTTTCTAGTATATCTACTAAGAGCTTGATTAACTGGTTCAGGTCTGTTTGATTAGGGTTGGCCCTGCAGGACCTAGTTTGGACACCCCTGCTGCAGGAACTCCGGTTTCCCCTACAGTCCAAACACCTGTGCTATAGGTGAATTATGTAAATGCAATTGGCCATAGTGTATTAGTGTGTGTGAATGCAAGAGTGGATGTTTCCCAATACTGGGTTGCAGCTGGAAGGGCATCTGCTGCATAAAACATATGTCAGAATAGTTTACGGTTCATTCCCCTGTGGTGAAAAGTTAGTATCTGACATCGAAACTCTTACAAATGCATATACAATAAGGGCTGGTGTAAAAATAAATGCCTATGCATTTTAGTGCTAATTGTTCACTGCAAACGTTTAGTAAAGTCTGACAGTGTTGTTTTTAACAATTAGTTCATCTGTCCCTGGGTGTTTAATGTAGGAAATAAAGCTGTGTTTCACACACTGTGGTTGTGTGTTATTGTGTTTATCCACTTGTTAAGTGGTGACGTGTTTGTGACGTATGTAATACTGTTTCCGGGTCCAAGCCGCCACTCATTATGAGTGGAGAAATCATTCATTTATGATCACGTTTTATTCCTATCACACATTAAAGTTATTTTTATATAAAATCATAGTGCACACAACAATCTCTGGGCTTGCTGCATAACAAATACCAAAATTTTAACAATTTATAAAAAAATTAATCATTTTCTGGCCATCGGTTATTAGGCATGGACATAAATATTGCGATCGTTATTTTCGAAAGTATTAAATCGCTTTGTAAACGTTTATTATTTATTATTTATATTATTTATTATTACCGCTTGGACCCGGAAGCTGCTTCGCGTGACGTCACACTTAACAAGCGGATAACTGGAGTCTTTAATCATGCCCAGATTAGTTTCATGCTCTTAGGTAGTGTTGTACAGTAAGATGGTTATTAAACTGATAATTGATCAACTGATTCCTGCATCTACAAACTGAATGCCATTTAAATGAGTTTAGGTAAAATGCTGTCATATATTCTGAAAAGATAATAGGCAATAACCAATTAACCACATTATTTAATAGTGAAAACACTGGTGTAATCTATATATACAACTATAATTCTTTAATCAATGAAATTACCTCTAAAATTAACGAGTTCAGGGAAAGACTATGTGTTTGTATCTTGAATGCATTTTGCACAAAGTAAAACTGATTTGTAATGCTGTAAACCAGGGGTGTCAAACTCAATTCCTGGAGGGCCAAAGCCCTGCACAGTTTAGTTCTCTGCTCCAACACACTTACCTGTAGGTTTCAAACAAGCCTGAAGGACTCAATTAGTTTGACCAGGTGTGTTTAATTAGGGTTGGAACTAAACTGTGCAGAGCTGCGGCCCTTTTGGAACTGAGTTTGACGCTGTGCTGTGCTGTAAACATTCTGGAGGAATATGAACCTTTAACATTTAAAACTATTTATTAAATAATGCATTTATTTATTTCTCCAAATTTATTCTGAATCTGAAAACATGTTGTAGGATTTGTGTAAATTATTTCACTTAAGCCATTATTTATTCATTGTCTTGTTTGCCTGTGTGAAATTCTATCCGAATTAATCCTAATGAAAGACTTTTATTTTGGTGTGGCGGTATGACGTCACGAAGCTGCGCCACTCTCGTGTTTGGGAATCAACAGCAGGTTTGTTTTGCAAGCTTTTAAAGTGTATAAATCGATAAAACGACGTGAAGTTAACGATAGTGTTTACACGTTTTGCTAAATTGGTAATTTGTCATCGACTGTTGCATTGCGAAACATTAAATAACGTCTGAGACTAACTGAAGCTGACCTGACAACAACAACACTAAAGTTACTGGTATTTATAAACAGCAGCGAATTTATCAAATCTGATTATAACGTTAGTATTTAATGCTGTTTATTGAAGTAAATGAGTCATGACAAAAACATTATTTGTTACACTATCTGCAACATTTCAGCTAGTGTTTAATTATCCACCATCATGTTACACCTTATTGCCTAAAGCCTGTTGAGATTATGAAGCAAGTGAAGTGTTGTTTATGCGGTTATTCTCCTCAGAGTTCAAACATCACATATTAAAAGTGTTATTAATATGAATTAGATCCAATTAAACAGTGCAGTGTGTGTTCTGCAACATTATGTGTTAAATGTTGTTGTAGTACAGAATACACTCAGGATTTAATCTGGAGAAGCAGATAGTGTTTAGTTTTTTTAGAGATATACTTTATTTTTTGCACAACATTATTAACTTTTTTTACTTGTATTGAATTACATTATTTTACTGACTTTAACTGAGATAAAGTTGGTTTTATATTCACACATTCGTTTAGTGACACACCCTCTATATTGTTAACCACGGCACTTTGAATAATTGATATGAATTAGCATGCAAGTATGACTTGAAAACAACACTAACACTGTTTATTTGACTGTGAATAATGTTGTACTTAGATATTTATTGGCTGCTAATATGATTTCGCTATTTAGAGTTTGCAAATAAACTTAGAAAGTCCAAATGTGGGAATATAAAACCAACTTTACCTTTATTTAAACTGAGACTGAAGCAGGTTGCACACCGGATGTGCCACGACACGGTGCGCACATGACAGTTAGAAGTATCGCACACTAGACGCGCAAATTTGCATGATATTTAAAATGACACTTTTCAGATTAAGTTTGTACACTTACATAACAGTAATTAAGACAATCACACCGGAGCTGCTCTGAACACGTCTTTACTGCACTATTGCAACAATCACATATACACACACACACACACCACTAGAGTGCGTCATAACAGAACAATCAGTTTGTTACTAACTCAATATACAACACAGATGGCGCTCTGTGGCGCAGCAGAAACATGAACAGTGTCCTGAGTCGTGGCTGGGCGCCGCGGACAGCCGTTGACTTATGGCGCTGATATGCAGGGCTGAAAAAACACAAACTATAACAAATCCAAGGTCTGTTCTTTTAGTTTTTTTTACCTCACAAAAAAAAATTATAGAGATGTACACACACATATAAATACATTGTTGTTTTATTATTATTATTGATAATTTACAAATTAATATTATTATCTAATTTTACACTATTTGATTTCTATTTGATTATATATATTTTCTATTTAAGTAATGACATAATATGAACTTTAAAGTTCAAACAAGCAGCAAAAATCAGCAAAACGAAACA